CCGCCCTGTTATTTTGCTATCCGTGCCCGCGACCAGAAACCAGGGCCCACTTCTCTACAAGCGTGCAGACTGCCACGTCAACGTAACACGCCGTAACTCCAGGGACGCGCGCAGGAGACACGATAAGATAGCGTGAGAATGGACGTGGCGTGGACATGGATCAATCACAAATTGCCACCCCCCTACCAACCCCATTCACGCGTAGCCAACGCTTGTTGCTTTCTCATTTTCTCTGACGATGGCTTATCGTGTGGAGCCGAAAGCTCAGCACAATAAGTTAATTGATCCGGTGTTCGACTCGTCTCCTTCCTTATCCAACCGACAGTTTTGCACTGGACTGCGGTGGCTGGAGTCTGGGTTTGTCTACCCTTTATCGGCAGACTTCTAGGGGAAAAAAGATTGACTAACGATAATCGCCTAACACGAGCTCACTCCAGCCCCCATAGGAAGGTCCTTTTAGTATTTTGTATTAGGTCTGACCGCGCATATTCCTACCTCTAGACTCTTCCGTGCCTGTAAAATTTACAAAAAAAATCTTAACATCATCTGGGACCATCTGATTTTCAGCCCCTGCCTCCGTCGGCGGCGGCGGCGGCGGAAGATCAGGTCCCGATTTGCGATCTTTCCTTCGACAGCGTAATGAACAACGACGCTGCTGTGGCTAACTTCCTCGGTAAGTTTCACTCTCCTTGCTTGCTTCCTTACTTTCATTTACTTTCCTCTATGGACACTTGAAACGTGCGTCTCTGTTCTTTTTTTTACCTCCCCCCAGACTTCCTCACTTCGCTGAACGAACAGTCTCTCTTCAGTCTTTACCTGAATTGCGTGGTAAGCTCCGGTTTCACCGTTTCTCTCTCTCTACAGTGTCTGGCTGTGTTTTGCTTGAAATCCATTCGAATATTTAAGACCTGAGCAGCTTTTAGCTCGATTCAAAGACGAAATGTAGTCATTCCGTTTTCTCTTTGGACCAATGCCTTCCCCACAACCACGGCGGAATAAATATTGGATCTTAAGTTGGCCTCATGTCTCCCCAGTTAAGTTATGGACCCACTTTCTGTCGTACCTAGTCGAGTGTATTTGGGGTCCCTGGCACCTCAAGAAACCTGATCCGTGCTTGTGCCGCAGCGTAAGTAAGTAATCTTAAGGTAAGCAAGAAGATAAATTAGATTAGAGTGACCATTTCTAGGTTATTTATATCAGTCAAGTATACTGCAAACCGAGAGCAAGTCAACTCTAATTCTTCCCTACAAGGCTGTGGTGGAAAGTGTCTCACTTATTACTTCCCTTAGTCGGACCATCCCACATGTTTGAGTTGATAAAGGTTTGCTGCTGTAGAGGACGGTGCGTGAAACCCGTCAACTTACTAACAAGATCAAGAACAGCAATATTCGCCTAAGTGACAAGTGTTTTCGTGAAATCTGACATTAGTGTTTCAAAAAAATCAACTTTGATTTTCAGGGTGGTTCCTGCATCGTGAACACAGAGGCAGGGCTCTGGTTCTTATGACAGGCTTAACACTGCGGAGTTTTTTTTTAACGCTGAAACAACCGGGATTGTCGACCCCCTTATCTTGTGCACTGTCTCAGACAGGAGGCAATGTAGCCTGTTTCTGATGTCTACTTTCTGTCAACTTTTGCATTATTTGGGCCTTCGTCAAGTGTCCAAACAAACTTGAGTTTAAATCCCAGTGAGCAGTCAGGCGTCGTGTATCGCATACCATGTCTAAGCGGGTGGTACAACGGGGTGACGCATCATCGCAAGTGGCCGCCCATACCTACGAGACCGGTCACGAGTTTAATTTCGCAGTTGCGAGGGTAATCGCGCACGCTGACAACAAAACAGGCCGTGAATTGATTGAAGCTTGGGCCTCGGATGAGAACTCAGTCAATCGATTTGTTGATCTGGCGCCGGCATACATCGCGCTGCGCAGACATCTCTGGGATGATGGCA